ACACATACAAAGAAAAAGATTGTAACAAGTGTCTTGAGTAAGATCATATGCAAAAGGAAAGCAAAAATATCCTAAATTTACACCTCAACTCTCACTCTCTCTCACTTGGCCAATAAGGGGGAAATTCTAGCAGCATATCCCCTAATTTCTTCAAGTTAACTCTCTCATTTCCAACCCAAATTTCATGACAAAATCACTAACAATCAAGATCATATGTTATGGGATATATGGTCTCTATTCTAGGTCAAGAAAGCTATCAACTTTGGACATATATAAAGCTCTAGCCAAACTACATCAAAATTGAAAATTTGCACCTCAAAACTGGAATTTGCATACCAAAGCTGAAAATCACATAAAAAAAACTAGAAATTTCATATCAAAACTAGAGCATCTCCTATTAAAGTTGGAAATTCAACTCAAAGCTAGAAAACCTCAAATCAAAGTTGAAAAAATCTCATCAAAGCTGGAAAATTCAAGCTACCATAACAAAACCATGAATTCTTCCATGAAATCTACTATAATCAAGTCATATGTCGATTAAGTCGCAAGATAAGAAGAAAAGAGAGGTTTCTTAATAATATACCTCAAAATCCCAAGATAAGATGCAAGACAAGAGCTTTCTTCTTCAAATAACTTCACCACAAGCTCACTCCCTCACTTGTTTCGACGATCCACGGAGTAGATGAAGATATCTTGATACGAACCTGCTTGAAGGTATGAACTCATATCCCACACGGCCCAGATCTAGACGAAGAAAATCTAGTTGATTGAGGAACCTTGATGACCCTTCTAGAACCACCAAGTTGTGAACTAAGAGAATTTCTCCCATGACTAAACAATTCTATGAACCAAAGTGTAGATAGAAGAACGCCACACCCAAGGTATATACTTTATTGATAAATTCAAGTTGAATAACTTAAGAAAACTCTCAAGTATTCAAGAAAAACTCTCTTGGACAAGAGAAGTGTATAAAACTCACAAGTTTTTGTTGTAATTTCTGATTGATCAAAAAAAGGTTCAAGACTTAGGCTTATTTAAAGCCTTACATGGATTCAAATCCCTAAAGTACTATAGAATTGTCTAGAAATCCTAATGTAATTTGGAATCACTTATTTTCCTAAAATTAGCACTAGAAATTTCAGCCACTTAAGGACAAAACTCTAGCCAAATTATTTAGACTAAATTAGCAAGGAAAATAGACGATTAAACCATTGCTTAACAACACCAAATAAATGACACAACTTGGACTAATTAGCTAACTGAGGAGGTGATTTTTGGGGGGCGGTTGAACCAGCCGAAATCAGCCTCTTCTGAGGTGAGGTGTATCTGTGTGTCCGAAGTGAATGGCGGGGCTTCTCCCCTGGGATCACTCCGACGCTCAAGTTAGTATGAGAACGAGAGAAATAATAGTATTGTCAAATGAACAGTATGCTTACTTGTTAGGAGTACATGAGGGGTATTTATAGAGCGAGAGTGGAGGGCAGGATGGAGGTCTTATGCCGGTGGGACCCATGTCCTGCCATTACGGCTCTGCTCTCTGTCAGGCGGTCTGACTCTGACGCTGTAGCCGCCTGGGCAGGGTGACGAGGAGTCTTACACAGTAGTCATTAAGTGTGACAGTGCTTTTCAGATAAAAGCACTGGTCCCGGGTGATGTCAGGTGGCTTGACATCATCAGCGTACAACTGAGGTGGATGTGCCGAGATCACCAACACGGTAGATTTGGGATCCGGTCCGAGCTTAGGGGATATGCCCAAGACACGGATGAGCTCCGATGAGGGACGAGGTGGGTTCACCTCGGACAAGCGGGGGTTGCCGAGGTGAGCATCCTCAATAAGCCCCCCAAGCCTCGGGAGCTCCGGGCTAGGGAGGTGCTGAGGCTTCCTTGTGCCGAAGTCGTAAGAGTCGGGGTCCCGAAACTGCTCCGGAAGATGCGGGGACGAGACACGTGGGCGAGTCAGTTGACGGGACGTGGTCACTGGTAACCGTCGCGTCGTGAAGTAGTGGGACGTTTCGTGCAGAGGGTGTCAGTCGAAAGGACGGGGCATTAATGAGGAGAGAGGGAGGCACGACGTTTTGAATTCAAACGTGGCCGTCTTTTCGCATTCTTGCCGCCTCTTCGGATTCTCGCCGAATCCCTATAAATAGGGGGTCCTTTTCACCGCATGGCCCCTCACTTTATCTCTCAGCCTTCGACTTGTAAAATTCGCGAGTGTTGCCGAGATCAATCCTGCCAGCCGAAGTCATCCACTTCGTCAGATTCCATAGTCAACAGTAAGTACTTTTCTTTTCATCTCATCATTCACACATGGCCAGAACGGCTAAAACCCACAAAGAGACCGTGAAACCGAGCTATCAGGCCGAGGAGGTGCCCGACACTTCGGAAGAAACGGCTTCGTCCAGCTCTGGGGGATCGACGTCCGGTGCTGCGGAGAGTTCAGCCGAGGTGGAGATCGTCGAGGCAGCCTCGGCGTCAGAGTCATCCGAGATGAGTGAAGCTGGTTCCGAGATTGTCTTCAATAACGAGCTCGGAGCTCAGATACCCCATGACGAAGGAGTACTGGAGCCAGTAGCTCCGAAAGACGCGGCCAAAATTGACTTCGGCAAGATGCCGAAGTTCAGAAGTCGAGTGGGGGAAGACAGGGCTCGGAAGGTGATAAGAAAGTACCCTTTCAGGCCGGGGTACATCATCACCTCGCCCGGACCAGATGACTCAGCCGAGAAGCCCCCCATGGGGACTGTGGCAGTCTACATCCAGCAGCTGGAAGTCGAGCTGAGGATGCCGACGTCGAGGTTCTTCAGGGACACACTTCGCCACTTCGGCATGAGGATTACTCAGCTCGTCCCAAACGCGGTCTGCATTCTAGTAGGTTTCAAGATGCTGTGCCGACATCAAAAAGTGACTCCAACTGTGGATCTATTCCGCCGATGCTACACCTTCAAGGCGCATGGGACAGACAAGGAGTGGTTCTACGTCTGCAACCGGAACAAAACCATCCCGAAGCTAGTCATCGGCGCCCCCTCTTCAATAAAAAATTGGAAGCGTGACTTCATCTTCGTCTTGGCCGTGGACTTCCCACGGGGTTTTTGGTGGAGGCCCATCAAATCGAAGGCCGACGCCTCCGCGGGGGATCTCGAAGAGGAGTCCTTCCAGAAATTGATGGGGTCCGGACTTCGGATCTTCAGCTGGGACCACCCCGAGGCCGTGCTGGTCGATGGGGGAATTAGCCGAGCTTTACTGCCTCCCAACAAGACTCCCCTCTTTTCCATTAAACTTAAGAAACCCTGTAATTTTTCTTTCATAGCTTTCCTTTTACCTCGGCTATGGCAAATAATAATATTTGTTTCTTGTGCAGTGACTAAACTGTCCGACATCATCACATCGGGCTCGGCCGAGGTGGCCAAGAGGTCGAAGAGAAAGAACTCGGGGGAGACTTCGGCGCCTCCGCCCAAAAAGAAGTCCAAAGGGCAGTCTTCCAAGATCTCGGTAGAGAAGACCACCCCGATCACGGCAGCCCAGAGCAGCTCGGTTGCTGCGGCCACAGGGTCCGCCTCTTCGGTGCCAGAAGGGGTGCCATTAGGGGTGACCACGGCACTTCCACCTCCACATGGTCGAGGCAAACAGTTGAAGTCTCCAGTCAACGCGGTGACGGCGTCTTCGCTGTGGAACCGTTACCAAAGCCCCCCAGTGTTTTCTGGGAAAGAAAAATCTCACCCTGGCAAGCATTGGTGTCCGGACTGGTCGCTCAAGGTCAACGACCGATGCAGCCACCCCCGGGTTGCCCAAGACCTGGTGATGCAGTCCACCTTGCCGAGGGACTTGGAGTTCACAAGGAAGTTGACTCCGGCCGAGATGCTCCAAAGCGTCATGGTGACCACGGCCTCCAACACAGCCTTTGTGGCCGAGATGGCACATCGGTACTGTGAGCTGCTTGAGGAGCAGGACACCGGCAAACTGCAAGATCAGATTGCCAAGCTGAAGAAGAAACAGGTTGTGTCTGAATCCGAGAAGTCCGAACTTCAGAGACGGCTTCAAGAGGCCGAGACTAAGGAGGAAGAGTCCGAGGCCACTATCAATAGTCTGAGGTCGGCTCTGGAGGAAGAGCAGAAGAGGTCAGAGGAGGCGAAGAAGACCCATGAGCAGGCCCTCGAGAGTGCGAGGACCTCGGCTGTAGAGGATTTCCGGAGGTCCGAGACCTTCCTTGGGGATCTCGGCCAACTGACGAGGCCGAGCTTCATGCTTGGCTTCACGTCGGCTATTGATGAGGCCGCGACTCATCTACCCTCTGAGGCTTTGGAGTCCTTGAGGAACAGTGCCAACTATAACGATGACTCCAAGGAGCTGTGTGATTGGATGGCCGAGGGCATCCAAGCCGGAAGGAACTTGGCCGAAGTCCAAGATGAGTTCAACAAATGGCTAGCTGAGCTCGACGAGGTCTTTGAGGAGGAAGGAGGAGAAGAGACTGGGGGTGACGTCGGCGAGGAAGAGCAAGGAGTAGGAGAAGAGGCTCACCCCGGCGGGGAAGAAGCCGAGGAGGCAACTGGCCAAGAGGGAACCGAGACGGAGGCTTAGCTTATAGGGCTTTAAATTTAAAACCGAGGTGGGAGATGCTTAGCAGTACTCCTGACCTCGGTCTTTGTCTTCATTTTGTAATGCCTCTTCTTATTTGAATGAAAGATCTATTTCTTCTTACTTCGGCTCCTTTAGTGTCTTGCTTCGTCCCCTATTTGTCCCCCTTATTTTTTAATAGCAGATGTATGCATCTCAGTATTGAAAAATAACTAAGCAGCTGAAGTGATAACTTAGTAAAATCTTCAAACATAATACAGTCTGAGGTTCTCAGCATGCCAAGTCCTCGGCACTAGAGAGCCATCTCGGTTGCTCAATTTATAATACCCACTTAGACTAGATTCCACAACTCGGTAAGGGCCTTCCCATTTCGGGCCTAATTTCCCTTGCGGTTCAGCTCGGGTGACCGAGTTTTTTCTAAGCACCAAGTCTCATGGCAGGAATCGCCGATGCTTGACGCGGGCATTGTAGTAGTGGGCCAGGGTGTTCTTGTAGGAAGCTATCCGAGCTGAGGCAAGGTCTCTTTTCTCGTCGATGAGGTCGAGATCAAACTGCCTCTCTTCTCCATTCACCTCGGCTACATAGGCTGTCAGCCGAGGACTGGGTGTGAGGAGCTCAGCAGGAATGACAGCCTCGGCTCCATAGGTCAAGGAGAAGGGAGTCTCTTGCGTGGATGACTTCGGCGTGGTCCGATATGACCACAGAACACTGGGGAGTTCCTCCACCCAAGATGACCCAGCTCGGTGTAGTCGAATCTTGAGGCCATGCAAGAGAGTTCGGTTAAAATTTTCTGCTTGACCATTGGCCTGAGGGTGGCCTACCGAAGTGAAGTGTTGCTTGATGCCAAGGTTCTCGCACCAAGTCTTAAATGGGTTCTCGGCAAACTGTCTCCCATTGTCCGAGATGATTACCTAAGGTATGCCGAAGCGGCAGATAATGCATTTCCAGAAGAATTTTTGAATGGTCAGCCCTGTGATGGTACGTAGAGGCTCGGCTTCAACCCACTTAGTGAAATAATCCACAGCGGTTACCAGGAAGGTATAGCCCCCGACCGCTTTAGGGAAAGGACCGATGATGTCTGTCCCCCATTGCTCAAACGACCAGGGTGAGGTGATTGGAATCATGAAGTTCGAGGGTTGGTGAAGATCAGGGGCTTGGACTTGGCAGGATGGGCAACTGAGAACAAGATTTTGGGCATCTTGTCGAAGAGAAGGCCAGAAATACCCAAGAAGTAAGGTCTTCCTGGCTAACATCCTGTGGCCGACGTGAGCCCCGCACAGGCCTTCGTGTATCTCATGGAGGACCTGGCGTCCTACCTCGGGGGTAATGCACCTTAGCCATGGGCCAAGGTATGGGCGTTTATACAGCTCTCCATCGCGGAGCGCGTACCGAGCAGATTTGCGTTGAATCTTTCTCGCCTCGGCTCTGTCCTCGGGGAGGACTCCCTGCCCTAAGAAGTGGATGAACGGATTCATCCAAATATCTTCCGAGTGCACGGGGCAGGCCACCTCTTCCATGTATCCCGGCTCGTCCAACACTTCCACTAAAACAGTTTTGTTGAGATCGGAGAATGATGTGGAGGCCAGCCGGGACAGAGCGTCGGCGCGCCTATTTTGGGAGCGGGGGATTCTTTGGATGTCGAAAGACTCAAAATACGCAATGAGTTGGTGGACTTTGGATAGATACCGTTGCATGGTTTCATCCTTGGGCTCATACTCACCAAGGACTTGGCATACTACGAGTTGGGAGTCGCTGCGGACGTGAATCCGCTGTGCACCGAGCCTGCGGGCTAGTTGGAGTCCCGCGATTAAGGCCTCATATTCGGCTTCATTGTTGGTGGCCGGGAAGTCAAAGCGGAGGGCATACGAGCACACTTCTCCTTGGGGGCCCTCCAGGAGCAGTCCTGCTCCACTCCCATCCCCATTAGAGGACCCGTCCACATACAACATCCACAGGTGTGGGGTGGACACTTCGGTTAGGGCGAAGGTGGACTCCCGACCTTCCGTGAAGGTGAGCTCGGCCAAGAAGTCGGCTAAGGCTTGAGCCTTTATGGCGGTGCGCGGCTCATACGACAGGTCGTATTCCCCCAACTCAACGGCCCACTTAGTGAGGCGTCCGGAGGCCTCGGGCCGCACCAGTATCTGTCGGAGTGGTTGGTTGGTCCTGACAGAGATGGGATGAGCTAAGAAATAGGGTTTCAGCCGTCGGGCGGCGTGGACTAGTCCTAGCACAAGTTTTTCCACTTTAGTGTATCGAGTCTCCGGCCCACGGAGGGCTCAGCTGACATAGTAGACCGGCACTTGAGTGCCCTCATCCCTGATGAGCACAGCGCTGACAGTTTCGTCCGCTGCAGAGAGGTAGAGGTACAGCTTCTCCTCGGGCCGAGGTGAAGCGAGGGTGGGTAGGTGGTGCAGGTACAGCTTCAGCTTGTCGAAGGCAGCCTGACACTCCTCAGTCCAGGTGAACTGATCGGCCTTCTTAAACACCTTAAAAAAGGGCAAAGCTTTTTCTGCGGACTGGGATAGGAAGCGGTTCAGTGCAGCCAGGCGTCCATTCAGCCTCTGGACTTCTCGGAGGTTCCGAGGTGGGGACATATCTTGAATGGCCTTGACCTTGTCGGGGTTGGCCTCGATTCCCCGGTGGGAAACTAAATACCCCAGGAACTTTCCTGAGGTGACACCAAAGACGCACTTCTTGGGGTTTAACTTCATCCTTGAGTCGCGGAGGACGCCGAAGACCTCCTTCACATCCGACAAGAAGGCCGAGGTGGTTAAGCTTTTGACGAGAATATCGTCCACGTAGGCCTCCACATTTCGGCCGATCTGATTTTTGAAAAGGCGGTTGATCAGCCTTTGATAGGTCGCCCCGGCGTTTTTTAACCCGAATGGCATGGTGGTATAGCAGTAGACACCTTGGTCGGTGTAAAATGCCGTTTTTTCTTGGTCTTCCTCACTCATTCCTATTTGGTGATAGCCTTTGAAGGCATCTAGGAAGCAGAGGATCTCGTGTCCCATTGCCGAGTCGACGAGGGCGTCGATCCTCGGTAGAGGGTAGCAATCTTTGGGGCATGCCTTGTTAAGGTCGGTGAAGTCGACACACATCCTCCATCCACCGGCATCCTTTTTGACCATGACAGGGTTGGAGAGTCAGGTGGGGTACTGGACCTCATGGATCATCTTGACGGGCAAGAGCTTGTCGACCTCATCCGATATGGCATTGCTACGTTCGGGGCCGAAGTGCCTTCGTTTCTGTCGCACAGGTCGGGCCTGTGGGTTAACGTTGAGTTGATGAATCATGAACTCGGGTGGCACTCCAACCACTTCATCTGCGGACCACGCGAAAACGTCTCGGTGGTCCTTGATCAGGGAGATCATTTCTTCTTTCAGGGGTGGGGGGAGTCCAGCCCCTACTTGGACCACTTGATCAGGTTTCGCTTCATCCAAGACCACTTGTTCCACCTCATCCCCGGGCTCAAGCCTGTTGGCCTCTCCTGCCTTCTGAGGGTCGATGCAGTCTATGGAGAGGACCTCTGGCCTCTTTTCTTCTGACCTCGGCGAGGGCCGGGGTGTGACTGCTGCTTGAATGGTGGCGAGGTAGCATTTCCGGGCGGCGCCCACATCGCTGCTCACCTCGGCCACCCCCTCAGATGTTGGAAATTTAAAACTCAGGTGGTACGTGGAGTATACGGCTCTCAATGCATTGAGCGTGGGCCGGCCTATTAGCATGTTGTAGGGAGAGTCTGCTTTGACCACCGCAAAGCTGACCGGCACAGTTCGGCAGCGGGGATGACGCCCGATGGTCACCATCAGGGACACCATACCCTCGGGGTGGACCACGTGTCCCCCGAATCCAACGAGGGGAGTCCTGACCGGAGTGAGCTGCTCCCTGGTCAGTTTCAAATTCTCGAAGGTTCGATAGTACAAGACGTCTACCGAGCTTCCGGGGTCAACATAGACCTTTTTGACTATGTAGTTGTTGGTGAGGACTTCGATCACGAGGGCCTCGTGGTTGCTGGAAGCGGCGGGGACGGGGTCAGTGGGACCATAGGTGATGACCTCGGACAACCGAGAGCTCGGCTCAACCACCTCCATCCCGGCCTGGCGGTAGGTCCGCTTCCGGGAGTTCTGCCTGTCTCCTCCCGTTGGTCCTCCCGCGATGGTATTGATCACCCCGGCGATGTTGGGGCCGTAGCCCGGTGATCCATCGCGTGGAGGCTGCTTGTCCTCCCTACGGTCTTCGGGTCCTCGGCAATGCATGTTCGTGTCCCGCCTGTCTTCTCGGCGGGGGCCCCGGTTCTCCCGGTGGGAGACGTTTCTGTTGAAGCCTCCATCCTTGCGGACGAATTGCTTCAGGTACCCCTGCCGGATCAAATTCTCGATCTCCCGCGTCAGATCATTGCAATCTTCAGTCTCGTGCCCAACGTCCCGGTGGTAGGCACAATAGAGGTTCGAGTTCCTCTTATCTCTCTTCCCTAGAATTTCAGGAGGATTTCGGCCGAGGTGATTCTGCCTCATCACAGCCAGGACATGGGTCCAGCTGGAATTGAGAGGTGTCAGCTCGGCGTCCGAGGTGGACGACCTGCCTTTAACAATCCGGTCGAAGACACTTCGGCGGTCTCGGAACTGAGTTGACGAGCCACTGGGGTCTTGTTCGACTCGGCCGGCGTCTTTTTTCCTCCGGAAATCTTGCCCGGTACGAGAGGCTTGAACCTCTCGCTTCATGCGGTTTAGATCTTCACTTCGGATTCCCTGATCTACTCGATCCCAGAGTTCCCGAAATGTGCGGGGGTAATCCCGGTGTATCTCAGTATTGAAGATTCCCGCGATCAGCCCATTGGTGAAGGCAGCTATAGTTACCTGCTCATGCTGATCAGGTATCTGCACGTTCTCCTCATTGAACCTCTGCACGTAGGAGCGCAGTGACTCGCCGGGGGCTTGCTGCAGGTTCAAGAGGTAGGCTGAAGTCTTCGTAATCGGACGAGATGATACAAAGCGGTGAATGAACCGATCTATCAACTCATCCAGTGAGGAAATGCTCCTCGGTTCTAAACCCCATAACCACTTTCGGGCCGTGCCCTGCAGGAAGATGGGGAAAGCTCGGCAAATTACTGCGTCGGGGACGCAATAGAGCCGAAAAGCGGAGAGGAAGGCGCGGAGGTGATCCTCGGGGTCACCTCGGCCATCGTAGGAACGGAGGGCGGGAAGTTTAAAGTTTGGGGGGACCATCTCCCCATTGATGTCATCCGTGAAGGGCGGAGCCCTCAGATATTCGGCGGCTAAACCTCCGGGACGCCGAGGTGGGTCCTCAGCTCGTTTTCCCAGAAGACCCCGGGAAAACGCCCGGAAAATGGAAATGATTTTAGACGTCGCCTTGGAAGAGGCGCGCCTGGAAGTGCTCCGAGAGAGGTGCCCCTCATCGGAGTCTTCGCCGGAAGGTACTTCAGGGGATTTCGTCGGTCTCCTCTTGGAGGATTCAGTTTTTTTCTTCCCCTGCCTCTTGAAGTACCTCCCCAGTTCCTCGAAGATGTTCGGGTTATCAGTCACGAATTCGGCCATCTTGGCGATGGCGTCTTCATTGTGGGGTTGGGTCCTTGGGGACCCTTGTTCTTCAGAAATACGATCTTGCTGGGCTCCGGATGTCTGCCCAGCCCCGGTCGAGGGGACTCTTCCACTTCTGGAGCGAGTGGATCTCATTTTAACAGTAATCTCGTTCCCACAGACGGCGCCAATTGAGGAGGTGATTTTTGGGGGGCGGTTGAACCAGCCGAAATCAGCCTCTTCTGAGGTGAGGTGTATCTGTGTGTCCGAAGTGAATGGCGGGGCTTCTCCCCTGGGATCACTCCGACGCTCAAGTTAATATGAGAACGAGAGAAATAATAGTATTGTCAAATGAACAGTATGCTTACTTGTTAGGAGTACATGAGGGGTATTTATAGAGCGAGAGTGGAGGGTAGGATGGAGGTCTTATGCCGGTGGGACCCATGTCCTACCATTACGGCTCTGCTCTCTGTCAGGCGGTCTGACTCTGACGCTGTAGTCGCCTGGGCAGGGTGACGAGGAGTCTTACACAGTAGTCATTAAGTGTGACAGTGCTTTTCAGATAAAGCACTGGTCCCGGGTGATGTCAGGTGGCTTGACATCATCAGCGTACAGCTGAGGTGGATGTGCCGAGATCACCAACACGGTAGATTTGGGATCCGGTCCGAGCTTAGGGGATATGCCCAAGACACGGATGAGCTCCGATGAGGGACGAGGTGGGTTCACCTCGGACAAGCGGGGGTTGCCGAGGTGAGCATCCTCACTAACTAAACCGATTTGCTTGGACAATCTTCACGTTCTCATCATTCCTTTTGTCTTGAAAGCAATTTGCCCACAAATTGAAGCATGAATGATGACAAGAAAAGTTACATGCCTTTGAGTCAATCTTGTTATGATGGCTGCAAATGTCATCCAATGCAAAAACCACTTGCTAAGTTGGAAAACAACCCTTATTGACCCTTGAATCTCACGAACCAGTTTCAATGTATGCTCAACTTGATCGCTTCTGGTCATGAGGTAAGGATCCTCAAAGTGGTGTGACGTGTATCCCATAAAACCAAACTCATGCTCGAATACACTTGCAAGACACCAAGGCAACTTTGGTGAAGTTGGAGCTTCACGTGGACTAAGGCCAAGATGATCAAATGAACCCTTGGTACACAACCAGCCCCAAAATTTGGAATGTTCCCTTCAACATGAGTTCGAATTAACTCTCCATTGGTGTGGACAGATTTGAATTGACATTGTTCCTTGAATTGATACCAAAGGGATTTAACTCTTAAAAGACAAACTCTATGGAAACTTGCAAAATGTACAATTGACTTTGGAATGAAACATGTCAAGATCAACCCTACTTGACTTTGCTTGATCTCCATAAAAGAAGAAACACTAAATAATGTAAAGGTAAGTTCATTAGGGAAACAATAAGCCCTCACATTTTTGCTCAAAATCAAGTCACTTTCTCTCTTTTCTTCCGTTTTACTACTCATCTCATCAGATATTTCCATTTCCTTTTCTAGCTCAATGCCTTCGATTATTTCCTCATTACGAACCTCTTCAACAAATGGTTCAATAGGATGAGATACCCCTTTGTTAGGATAAGACTCGGCTACCTCCTCATTAGAAGACTCGCTTTGATGGCATCTATTTGACTCTATTTGTTTTTGGTGTAAAAGACGTTGATATGTCTTCCAAAATAACTTCTCATGAGATGGTTCAACTCTAGGTTTAGGCCCAGAAGATGTTGAATGAGCCTTCTTGTCACCTCTTGTATAAATCGGCTTTAAAGAGGTAGATTGCATGGAATCACAAGATTCATCCAAAGGTAGTTTTCCTCGAGATTTCTTAGAGGAATTCCTTGAAGTTTCTAGATTATCAATACGTTCATAGAGTGACTCGAGCATAAGATTAAGCTTTCTTTGAGACTCCGCCAACACGGCATCCAATTTAAGTCAAATATAAGCTTTCTTTAAGTCAAATATATAGATTTAGTATCAATTATGAAATATTTTCCTTCTTTCTTACTTGATGTAATATTTATTGGAAATATATTCCGGTCCTTTTGATGTATTCGAGTTCTTTTGACATAAATCAAACAATATGATAAATTCATTAACAAACCCTCCCCTGCTAGAACAAGAAATATAATCTATGATAAGCTCATCAATTTGATAATGTATTTTGTAGATTTTGTTGCGGCAAAGTTTTTAAAAAAATCTTTTTCTAGTAAGGAAAAATAGAACTTAAGCAATGGGAGTGAAGAAGACATATTTGAATTCAAGACTTCAAAGTCTTGGGGCTTGCCACTGTAGAGTTGTGGTTGGTTTTGTCATCCATTTTTACACCAAAAAATTCTACGAGATGGTACAGCAGTTTGTACCAATCTGTTGGTAAGGAGTACGGATTAAGGTTTGGTTTGGATTGCAATTTTTAAGAGTTTTCGTAAAAAAAAAAAAATTACTGTAATGATTTGATGTATATAAGGTAAAAAATGATTAAAAAATATAAAAATTTCTCTACAAAAAATCATGGAAGACATGAATACAAATGATGACACTTTTATCACGAATTATGAACCAAATAAATAGATAATTATATTTCAAAATTTTGTTATTATATATTATCTAATTCAATAAGCACTTTCCGCTTATTTGGTATGTAGGAATGGCCTGGAAAAGAAATGTTTTCCAACTTGTCCATTCCATTACAGCGTTTGGTATGGTACATTTAAGTGGGAAAAACTTTTCCTCTTGGAATGCTTATTCCAACTTTTTACTGGAATTCCATTCCTTAAAAAAATTTAGGAAAAGCTTTTCCACCTTCATCATAACATGCCTAAATGGTAGAATGTCAAATTTATCCTTATAAATCTTTACACTGCATCGTGATATCTTAGGCAATTTGTAAGCTCAATTAATATTTGAATGTAATTTTTTTATAATCATTAATTTTCCTCGTATTTAAAATAGTTATTTTCTTTCACTAGAAAAAAATATTTTAAAATACTTTATTCTTTGACTTTTGAGCATTGTGCAAGAATTGTTTTTGGATCTTATCAAAATTGAAAATAAATTATAATTGTTTGACTTCATGTAATTTATATTTTATGTTGCTAATTTATTGCTAGTAAATGCAAAATTTTAACTTAGAAACCCATATATTAGAACGAATTAAGTCTTATAATTGAAGAATTTTAATATCAATCCTCATTAATTTTTAAAGTAAAAATATCAAAATTTCACATAAATAGACAAATACTATTATAGAACAAATAAAATAAAAGTAATAAGACATATTACATCTTATAAACCAACCTAGGGCAATTAAGTCAAAATTGTATTTAGTATATCCCATTCTAACATTTAAATATCAATTATATCACATATTGGAAACTGGGTAAACATTCCATTCTGACTTATCTACCAAATCCTAGAATAATAAATTTTTTCCCCTGCCACTCTATTTTGGTTGAAATGTATTTTGGGTGGAAAGGTCTTTCCATTCTGGCAGTCCCATCTACCAAACGAGGGGTTAGTATTTATTGTATTTTACTGTTAGGTAAAATACTAAAATGATGTGTTTTAAACATTTAGAAGAGAAAAAAAAAATTTCTTTGGTTGTGGGGCAAACATAAATGATGGCTCAAGTAATGTAGCGGCAAGTAATCTCAAGTGACAAGATTATAATGACGAAGACATGAGCATAAGGGAAAAAGTGAAGCTGGGGAGTTTGTACTATAGTCTAAGGAATAGTCAAATATATAGAAATAAATTTAATTTTCTTCTTTTTTCTTTCTAATAGAGAGCACAAAAAACACTAGTTAGTTTTCGTGTATAGTTCACGTTTGACTTATCTATAACACTTGTATTTACTAATAAGAAGGGATTAATACAAATTAAAATAATAAAGAGGCCAAGGGAGTTAATTGTAATCAACATACATATAAAACCAGTTGATTTTCCACATATTAATTAGTTACAAACTTATAATAATATTATTATTAGTTATATGTATTATATAATGTATATTAATTTATGTATTATAATTAATATTATCAATTATACTAATAATTATACATGTTTACTAATAGAAATTATTAATCAGTTAGACTAAATTTACTAATACATTTATACTAATATATTTAATTAGTGAAAATTTCTTATATTCCATTCCGAAAGAGTCGACAAACCAAATATCAACTATAGTAATGATACACATTCCAGGTGCTTGAACCAAACAAATGTATTAGAATGAATAACCTCATTCCAAACCCATGATATCCAATTCCGAATCTGAATCCGATTCCGATGTGCGAACCAAACGCCACCTTACTTTTATTTGAATGCTTTGATTGATTCAATTTCATATTTATTTTTATTTCTTGTAATTATTTATTAATTAAAGCGATGCCTTGACCATTTTATTGTTTTGGAGGGCAAATAAGTAATTTCGTTTCACTAAGTCACCAATTCAAGGGAAGTACACTCTAATCCTTTATTTTGATTTTATTTGACCCTATGTGCCCCTATGTGACTTTATGTGCGTTTTTGCATGTTTTTTTTTGAATGTTTTTATTTCATTTAATTATTTATTTGCTTTATTTGTTTAATTTTGTATATTTATTTTTAATTATTTAAGAGGCATTTAAATGCCAAATTGTAATAGTCACTACAAGAAATTTGGTTATTAGTGACAACATTTCCTAGTGACGAAAATTAGTCGTCACAAAATGGGGCCCATTAGCCACAACAGGAAAAGTTGTCACAATTGACTGAAAGGAGCAAAGGCATCAGGATTGTCATTACAGTTGAACTCCCGCCACATCGCGCCAAACTACATCAGCGACGACTATCTAAATATTGTCAGTAATAATTCCCCTTTCTTTGACAACTTGGTTGTTGTTGTCACTGATAATAATGGAACTAGTTAGTGACAACTTTCTCTTGTCACGATCTGATTTAAAATATTTATATACTATAGCAATTGTTATTCTGTATTTGCTCTCTAATGAATTTTTTAATTGTTAGGAACTCAAATTTTGTCATGTAAATTAATATTAGTGCAATAATTTAAAGTGAAATTAACCATTTGAAACAAATCATCTCTCCTTATTATAAAATAACAAAACAAAATTCTGGAGTATTGGGCAAAAATAATGGAAAGAAAGATAAATAAGTTGTAATTTAGTTCATAATTTTGAGAAAATGATATCAATATTAATATCGGATCAACTATTTGATGTCATAAAAAAATTAACTATTTGAAGCAGGACCAAGGTGCATTTACCACTTGTAGTATTGCAACATAATTTTCTCACCCATTATGAATATTTTCACAAAAATATTTAAAAGTAGCAAATAATAATATATTAGTAAAATATTATATGTACTAAAATGTTGGAAACTAAAAAACTTTGTTTGAAATTTTGGTACTGAACAAGTAAGGGGGAAATCTAAAGAATTGAAATTTTATTCAAAGTCAATAGTCTGAGGAGAGGCCGGAATTGATATTGAACACTTGGTGAAACCAACCATCGGTGGTCTTGTTTATTCATTCACTCTACCGAAACATCACTACCAGCCAATAGCCAACACTTAGAACCAAATAACACTACTCCTCATCTCTGCCGAAACATCTCCTCGCCACCTCCTAATTGATCTTGGCTCGGCAATGAGCAAATAGAAGACTACATTTAGCAGCAACTCTCTACAAAAAAAGGTATGCCGATTCTCTTTTTTCTCCCTAATTTTCCCCCAAATGTTTTGCCCTAATTGTTTTTTTTGCCAAAAATTTCAGTCCAGTTTTTTTGGGTTTCATTTGATTTATGGATGGAGTCATCTCCTACTTTTGGATTCTGCTTACTTGTGGGTTTTACCCTTATTAATTTTTTATCAACATTTTCTTGTACAAGATAAAGGGCTTTAGTGGGATTGGATTGTGGGTATGTATGGGTTCGTAATAGGCTGAGAAAGGCAAATGTAATGTTGTATTTTCTGTGACAGTGGGACTGGAAGAGAATCAAGAGGTGATTTTGTGAAATTTTTGTGAGCGGTACGTGTGAGGAACATAGCTAGTAAAATAGCTTTGAGTGAAAAGGGAAATGGGAAATTGTGATTGGGGGTATGTTTCCTAACCCAGTGAACAAAACCCATAGCCCGAAAGTTAGGAACTGGGGTCCTTAAACTCGTCATAGTAGTCATGCTATTAACCCAAATTTCTGAGACCTCATAACAGTTCCAACTGCTGTATTTATGTCTGGCACGCCCAATGTTATACCACCTTTGCATCATCCAATACCTCAGAAATTACATACATAAAGAAGACGCCATGCTGTGTATTTGTACTCAAATACTGTATTATAGATCCAGCATTAATTAGTCAAACACTGTAGAATTTCACAGATCATACACATAGGAATATAAGAGATGGAACAATTTGGAAAACTCTGATCATTCTTGTTATTAGTACTATACTGAATGAAGTCATAACAATGGTAGCAAGAATCCATGAACTGTGACCTTGCATTAGGAGTTATAGCAGAGCTATAACTGAACATTTATAAGATCAGCTACGTAGGAAGTGCAGTTTCACAGCATACTACTATCAGGCATATAAGCCCCCGCGTGAATGGTCCAGCGGTAGCCTCCTCCCACAGGGACCGAGAGGTCCCGAGTTCGAGTCTCAGCTCTGCTGGATTCCTCCGCACACTTAACGTGCTAGGGTCAGGTTGGGGCGCCAGGCCCGGGCCGCAGGGGATTAGTCGGGCCCCGTAAGGATTGACCCGGACACCCCTGTGTCGACAAAAAAAAAAAAAAAAAAAACTATCAGGCTTATAAAACTTCTAACTGGACCTAAACCCAGAAACCAATAAAATAACTTCCAATCCAATCTCCACTTACCTAATAAATAAGTTCACCACACAAAAATAAAAACATAAAAACAAAACTCTCAGAAGAATATAAATTCTAATTGCCTCTATACCAGAACTCTAATTCTTGATCTCAAAAATAATTCAGACCCTTACCTCAAGGTGGGTCAACATGTCAATTGTGGCATCTAGGTCATAATTGTTCGCCTTATAGGCATCAGCAAGAGACTCTTCTGATACACTAGGATTGGCCTTATAGTGTCTATTTTCACAGTCGTGGAGAATTAAAAGGGATTCAAATTCCAGGTACGAAAGAAGAGCTCCTTGAATTTCGCTTACTTTTTAATGGTTCTGAATTTTATATATATTAAGTTTCAATATTGCAATTTCTGGTTTCGACTCGTTCCAATCTTTCTTGGATCTCTTTCTCTGTTCCTCAATTAACCAGGGTTCTCTTCGTTATTTGAGTTTCTTGAACTGTTTTTTGGGTTTTTAGGAAAATTTGGATTCTGGATTTTGTTTGATTTCGTTTGGGTATTGACCTTGACTTGATGCTCGTCAAATTCCATAATTTTGTGGGCAGTTTAGAAACAGAATTAACAGAACTCAGGAAAATCTCATGTATCAAGAAATCTCCTAAATTAATCAAATGATTCCATCCTAAAATCACTCTTTTGTCGAAGCACAGATGCACACTAATACTATTCATCACACCTTGCGCACGAAACTGGCATGGACATGCAGTTTAATATGGATGACATGGTTAATATCAAGGTCACCATGAGCAAAAGGGAGGAGTGTTAGGGCGTATGTAGAGTGAGAAAAGAAGAGGGGGAATTTGGACTTGCAGGACCATCGGGAAGGAGAGGTGGAGAAATGTGGTGGACGCAAGAGTGATGGAGATGGAGGGAGTTGGCTATGGGAAGAGGAGAACTTGGAGGGGACAGGGGAGAGGCAGGATGGAATGGGGTTTATGTCTGATTAACAAAACTATCGGTTTTCTTTTTCAGAATATCAGAAACCGAACAGACAGAAGTCTGTAAATGTGAAGTTACAAACGTCTGTAATGTTAGAATTGTCTGAGTAGTAGTTAGATCGCAGACACTATGAGGTTGAATCTCACAGATGTCAACCTAACCGGTATATGCAAATATTTTAGTATTTAGATAATTATTCCCAACATTATACAATCCAAACCTACAAAATATGAAAGTTCTTTTCTTGATTCATTTGTTATTGTATCCACTTTTTTTAAGTGGACTAAACAAATGGTAGCAGTTTTTGAAAAGGAATGTTGACGAAAAAAAAATATTTAGCAGAAATGAGTGATGTTGTCATCCATGGAGAGACGATAACTGCAGTGGTTAAAGAACATTGAGGCTGAAAGACACAGCGTACACGGGCATAGGAATGATGAGTCAAATATAAGGAATGGATAAACAGGAGGTGCTGGTTGTCAGTTTCCTACCGAAAATTGAGCGGTGATTTGTCTGTAACTTATCACAGAGTTACAAACTGTCATCAGCCTATTTTCCATTTTTTTTATTTTTATTATGAGCATTTTAAAACTTGTGTTTGTTGCATTTTTTTTGGGATTATTGCTTGATTTATTTATTTTTCATTTTTTATTTTTTGATTCTTCAGAGGCTTAAGGCCAATCAGACACTAACTAATCTAGAAAAAGCTACCCCTGTGACATCAGCATACAGACACTTCCTAAGAGCCTCTGGTGGTTCATCTAGAATCTTCAATCCTTAAGCTCATCTTCGCCAGCTCATCTGCAGTCATATTTCCCCCTCTCCATGAATGTGCCAGCTTAATATCCCAGTTCCTTGCCATCCCTGCCTTGATTTTCCTGATCAGGTTAGCATGTGGAGTATCTGTGTTATGTTCCTCAATACTTGACAGAGAGTCAGTTTCTAATTAAACTTTCCTATAACCTTCCTTCCATGCTAGCTCAATCCCATGAATGATACCCCAGAATTCAGCCACTATATTACTAGCTGTGCCCAAATTGCAGCAGAATCCCTTCCTCCATGCCCCCAGTTCAGCCCTTATAACTCCACCTTCCCCTGCATTGCCTGGATTTGCGGCCAAAGCTCCATCCACATTGACTTTCACCCAGCCCGTGGAAAGCTTTTTCCTGCTGATGCTTTTCCATTCCACTTGCTCACTGCCAATTCGTCTCTCTAATCCAGATTGTGCTTGTCTTGCCAGCTCTAGCAGAGCTCTAGTAGATTGGTTGCACTAATTCTCAATCCACCTTTCACATTTAAGAAGTTTCGAGCTGTCCAGGCATGATATACTACTTATTGAAACAAAATATGTCAGTATAACTTCTGATCTATCCCCATATGTTTCATCTTTAGATTTCAGTCAATCCATTCTTCCAAAGTTTGGCTTCTGAAAACAGACCACATCGATTTGTCTACCAACTGCTTCCATATGTTTTCTATCCAGTTACAATCTCATACTGCATGCAAAGTGTCTTCTGTGTTTCTGAGTAAGTGGGTCTTTTACCAGCAGTTTGCATACGTTGCTTTCTTTTTGCCTGATTAGTGAGCAATGTCCCATGCCTACTTGACCAGACCTGTTTGCTTCCAGATTCTCTTCCATCTTCTGTGTTCCCCTTCCCTATGCTCTTGAATGTCATTGGCCACTTGATAAGCTGATTTTGTTGTGAATTGTGCCCTAGGGTCCAGTCCCCAACAGAGCACATGAGGATTGTTGCTTGCTTTGATGATATAGAAATGTAGATATGAGCACTACAAAATGTGTATTTGGGAAGTGTGAATTAGTTTCTTTGATAAGATATTCCTACGCCTTTTCTCTTTTTTTCTTAATGCATATCTACAAAATGTGTAGATATGCTCTTTTTTTCTGCGTTTCTGAGTAAGTGGGTCTTTTACCAGCAGTTTGCATACGTTGCTTTCTTTTTGCCTCATTAGTGAGCAATGTCCCATGCCTACTTAACCAGAGCAAGAACTGCCAACGTCCTGGACCTTTTTGCTTCCAGATTCTCTTCCATCCTCTGTGTTCCCCTTCCCTATGCTCTTGAATGTCATTGGCCACTTGATAAGCTGATTTTGTTGTGAATTGTGCCCTAGGGTCCAGTCCCCAACAGAGCACATGAGGATTGTTGCTTGCTTTGATGATGTAGAAATGTAGATATGAGCACTACAAAATGTGTGTTTGGGAAGTGTGAATTAGTTTCTTTGTTAAGATATTCCTATGCCTTTTCTCTTTTTTTCTTAATGAATAGGATATGACATTTGATTAGTCATTTAATTTATTATGTATATTTTTCTTTGTTGTGGGAATTGTAATATCAAGACCCAGAAATAGTTTGATAAGGTGTTGGGCGATCACATGATCACAAAATTCCATGGTCATACGTGTATTTTAACTTATTAAGGGTGTATATATGTAGAATCCTGCAATTAATTGAATAGGATTATGCTTAGGTACAAAACTGTGATTTGTCTATCTTTGATGCATAAGTATTTGTTGGTGCCTTTTGGTTAACGTTTTTTAAGTGCATTTATTGAGCCCTGGAGGGGGATAAAGCTAGGTGGAGCGAAAAGGGTTTTCCATGAGATGGGAAATGAAAACTATTAGCCCCACACGAAGTTTAATTTTTTTCTAAGTGGATTGGATGCAGAAAGTAGGTTTATTGATTTCGTTGTTTACAGTTTTCAGCTGAGTTTTCCGTCAAGATGAGTTTCTTTATTAGTTCTGATTACTATGGAGATATGGTATGGTGTTGTAAGTTATTTGATGGTTGAAAATGTTTTCCCTCTGTAGCCTCTTGATTTGGAATTTAGCTTACGCATCTGAGATTGATAGTCAGCTTCACATCCCTGAAAAGTTCAGAGTTCTAAGAGAACCTTTGCAATACTTATTGGTGTTATGAACCCGCATTCAAAATGATTGTATATGATTTATGTGGTGATCGTGGTAGATACATGAAATATGGACCTATTGCAGGTTTTTGAGCTTTTTAGACATGTCACTGGCATTGTATGCACATGCTCCTCCTCCTTTTTTTATTTTTTAATTTTTTTAAAGAATAGGATATGAAATTACTGTATTTGTCTGAATCGATCCTTTGTGTAATTTCAGCATAAAGAGTTAATCAAAGTTGAGAAACGGGATAATTGCAAATAGTGTGAGGTTCAGCAATGGTGAAGCCCAAAATCGCACCATCGATGCTATCATCAGACTTTGCCAATTTGGCATCTGAGGCAGAGCGCATGCTCCACTGTGGTGCTGATTGGCTTCATATGGACATCATGGTACTAACATGCATCATAACGTCAATATAGGCTTCTATTGTTTCAAGCCTTTTTTCCCCCTTTTGGCTATGTTCTCTTGAACATTAGCATTAAAATTGGATAAAAGTAAGTTTGAACTTGAAATTCTGATCTGTGGCTTTGCAGGACGGGTAGGTTGGATTTCCAGATGATGAAGCCATCACTTCAAACCATAGAAAAAAAAAAAACTTCATAGTTCTCTTAGTACTTCAATAATTTTTTTAGAGAAAATTTATCAAAACGTCCCTCATATTTTGCAAAATAACTTTTTTTTATCTCACTTTTAAAAATGTAATTTTACGTTTCTTATAAATTCACATTGGTCAAATTTGGTCCCTACCTAGATTTTCGACTAGTTTTTTGTTGGAATCCAGCACATGCCTTGCACGTGATCATTTTTTAGAGGCAAATTTGTTAAATCAAATTTCACATAATTTGATTTTTTTCGCCTCTCATATTTTACAAAATAAATTTTTGCGTCTCTTACATTTCAAAAAATGAATTTTTCCGTCCTTTACATTTAATAAAATGAATTTTTTCATCTCTCATTAATCATGTGTGCGAATAATTTCTTTTTTTTTTTAAACTCATATATTATATATATATATCTATTTGATTCACCTGAACAATATGAATAGCATGGAATATGTGTATTTGATTTCATCTACATCTTATTGTAGTTGTAGATGAAATCAAATACACATATATTACATGCTATCTATACTTTTCAGGTGAAATCAAATAAACATATATATATATATATAAAAGTTTTTAAAAATAAGAAAATACTATCACACACATGATTAATTAGGGATGAAAATTTTTATTTTGCAAAATTTGAGGGATGAAAAAATTTATTTTGTGAAATGTGAGGGACGAAAAATTTCATTTTGTGAAATATGAGAGACTATAGATCAGATTATGTAAAATATGTTTGACAATTTTACCCCTAAAAAATGATCATGTGCAAGACACGTGATAGATTCCGGCCAAAAACTAGTCGAAAATCTAGATAGGAAACAAAATTGACCAATGTAAATTTGTAAGGAATGTAAAATTACACTTTTAAAAGTAAGGGACAAAAAAAGTTATTTTACAAAATATGAGGGCTGTTTTGAATGATTTTCCCATTTTTTTAAACTGATTTTAGTTGGAGGGCCATTTGATAGAGCATCTGATTGCTTTTGCAGACATTTTGTCCCAAATCTTACAATTGGTGCTCCGGTCATTGAAAGTCTGAGAAAGCACACTAGGTAAAATCCTTACTTTTTATATCCCTTTTAATTAATTAGTTTCAAATTTAAAGCTGACTTCTGCTAATTAAATTTTGTTGGTGATTTTGATGGAAGACTGTTGTAATCTTCTCTTGTAGTGCATATTTGGATTGCCACCTTATGGTTTCAAATCCTCTTGATTATATTGAACCTTTTGGGAAGGCCGGTGCCTCGGGATTTACCTTTCATGTCGAGGCATCAAAAGGTAAACTTTTTTTTTTCTTTTTGGTGCAATCTATATTCTCTGGTCACATTTTTGTTTTCCTTTTAGACTTTAAATTGAGGCCAAACTCCCACAATTTTTCCAGATAATTGGCAAGAACTTATCCAAAAAATAAAGTCAAAAGGCATGAGACCTGGTGTTGCCTTGAAGCCTAAAACACCAATTGAAGAAGTTTATCCACTGGTACATGTCTTATAAGTGTATATCATTGGATTGTACTGCTAAAATTTTCATGTTTCTTAAACTCTTTTCTCCTGTTACCTTTTGAACATGCGCAATTTGGAATTACTTGATAATGATGAGTTGCCATTTGTTTATACAGGTTGAAAATGAAACTCCTGCGGAAATGGTTCTTGTAATGACTGTTGAACCTGGATTTGGTGGGCAAAAATTTATGCCAGAAACAATGGATAAGGTGCTGTACTCTGACACTTCTATCACATGTAGGTGGCCATCATCTTTGCCCTGTTTATTTATTGACGCTGTAGTTATCAACTTGCATTTCAGGTTCGCGCACTTCGGCAGAAGTATCCATCTCTTGATATAGAGGTGATTTTCAGTTTTTTCCTGCATTCTCAATGCTTTTAACTAATATTATTAGGATGCTTATCATCCATTTTCTTACTGAAGAACACCCAATTCCTTCAGTTCTCTCATCCCAGGCAGAACAAATTGAACACTTCTTTTTTTCTTTTAGCTAGTTTTAACAGTCTCAATTTGGTGTTCTTTTATCTTTCTCCCGTAATAATGTGAACTGTTTCTTGGCTCATTATCAGTTATTTGTCTTGCATACGATTTCTTATTAAACTGTTGAGTTAACCTTTAATAGAAAACTTGAAATTTGGACTGAGTTCTTCTCAATTTGGACGTCTACTTCAATTTTATGCAGGTTGATGGTGGGTTGGGACCTTCAACCATTGATATAGCAGCTTCAGCAGGAGCAAATTGTATTGTTGCTGGAAGTTCGGTATTTGGAGCGTCCGAGCCAGCACAGGTTATATCCCTAATGCGAAATAGCGTCGAGGAAGCTCAAAAGATCAATTGAGATTGAGACACCGAAAAATTCATACAGTGATTGAGCAATCATAAATAAACATATCTGCATGCTGTAGCAATTTCATAATAAAAACTACGTGTTTGACCACTCTTCTTGTATACTGTGTTCAGATTGAACATTGATATGTGTGGCTTTTTTTTTTTGGGTCTTTGGAAGCAATATGTGAGGCGTTGTTGTATAATGTCAAATATAATAATTGTACATTGATGAGTTTCTCTTATTTTTCATGCTATGGCTATTGTCAAAAGGGTTAATTCCACTTTGCACCTTTCAGCTTTGCCTAAATTTCCATTTTAGTTCATAAAAATGTAACATTTTAGTCCCTAGACTATAAAATTGGTTCCACTTAAATAACATTTTAGTCCCTAAACTATTATTAAAGGAGTGAGACAGATTTTATGTCCAAGTGGATATACTTTAGGGATTAAAGTGGAACAAATTTGATACTTTAGGAACTAAAATGGACATATTCTATATTTTATGAACTAAAGTATAACAAGTGTCCCATTTTAAGGTTTAAGGGTCAAAGTGAAAATTTGAGTATAGTTAAAGTGTGTAAAGTGGACTTAACATCTGTTCAAGTATTTTAATTAGATGAAGATGGATTTCACAAATTAATTGCTCATTCTAATCAAAATTACATTATTTATAATTTCTCTTATCCAAATACTCCCCAGCAAATGGTGCAACTGAACTAACATCAATATATTTCCAATAATATTCGATAAATCATTTCAAGCACAATTGCCCTCTTCATGTTGGGCTGAGGCTGCTTATATTGTGGGGGACGATTTCAATTGTTTTCTAAATATAAGTGTTGGATGCAATTTATGTGTTTCATGGGGAATGAATGACTACAATTACAAATTAGTAATTGAAAGCAACGCAGCCTCAATAGGTCAACTAATAAGCAGTACGGAGGACTCAGAGGATTACAAAACAGAAAATTTAGGGGGAAAAAAAGAAAAACAAAAAATCTTAAAAACATATAAAGGAGGTCAGTTCAATTAATTCAGATTTTTCATGTAAGTTTTCTTATTTATATGAGAAAAAGTTTTAGGAGGTGTGTTCTACAGGTTTTTGTTGTCTTTGTTTTGTTATTTAAGTAAGAGTTGTAATCATGTGTACATTCATCCATTTACTCTAGTTAGAGGACAATCAATGATAGGTAGCTCATGCACTCATTGTCACCATTTAGTGAAAAATGGTGACAATTTTCAGGATTGCAAGACAACGTTTGGATTGCCATTTTCTAGAGTTTTTGTAAAAAAATGTACAGTAGCGATTTAATATATGTGAGGTAAAAAGGTGATTGAAAAATGTGTTTATGAAAAAACGTAGCCATTTTTTTGGTGGAAAATGGCTTTTCAAACAAGGCAAATGAAACATAATATTTTACCCGTTAAAATGCTACCAAATTGCAATAGGATGTATAATTTCCAGTTTACATCTCGTTTGTGAGATGGACTAAAGCATGTACACATCATAAATGATATCCAAGTTTGAGAAGATTATTTATCTTTTACGGTCAAATAATAAATTTATAGTCCAATCCTTCTGTGTCGTATTAGCTTGTTTTTTCTTTAAAGGCACCAAATAAGTAGTAAACCCAATGTTATATTTTTAGTAAAAAAAAAAAAAAGTAAGTTAGATGTGCAAAAGTATTCGAATTCAAGAAATGGGTGACAATTTCAAAAGATTAATAGTTGATTCACTTTTCTTTTTTACTGTGCTTATTTGGTGCCCTAAGAAAAAACCTTTGTTGAAATCTTATAGAATTATTAATTTCTTATCTAAATTCCTATCCAATGATCGTCAAATGTTAAAACATTCCTTTACGATACTTACGGATATGAATAAGCAAAAACAATGAGATAACTAAAATTTTCTAAATTAACTGACTCAATAGATACAAAAAGTAATTAAGAACTTCCTATAAATGAATTCGGGAAGGGCTAAATCCACACCTCTCCATACTAAATCCACACCTTGTATATTTATTAGACTTATACCCTTAGATTTTAAATTTATTTGTCGCTTCTTGTAGTTTCAAGAAACATATAATTATATAATAAAAAAGAAAAAACAAATGGTTACATTGTAAAAGAAAATATTTTTGAATATTTTACACGGGCTTAAGAACATTTAGTCATTTAAAATTTAATTTAGCAATCCAAAATTTTCAATTACTAATAAGCATGTAAATAAAAATGTTCACATATTTCAATTCCATAAAATTAAAATCAAGCAAGTTTCAAGGTGAAATATGCAATCAAATTGACTTCATACTCATATTTACCATTTGATTACATTTCAGTTTTAAAGAAAGTTTAATTAAAAAAATTAGTAGGTCATAAGAGGGAAGAGAAAAAAATTAAAACAATGTTAGAGAAACATAAATTTTGGAACAAAAGAAACAAGAAAAGGAATTTCTATATAAGGCTTAAACAAAGATTTAGGTATGAATTTTTTTCTGGCAAATGATGTTACTATTCCTTCTATTTATTACATAGCAAGATAATTAAATATTATAACAAAGTGTTGATTTAATGCAAAAAGGTCAATGGCATAAGTGTCTAATAAGTGTATAGGGTGTGGATTTAGTATGTAAGGGTGTAGATCTAGCCCCTCCCAATGAATTATTCAAAAAAATTTCAGTAAATTCCACAATGGAAAAATTGTAGCTTTAGTCCCTAATGGTTAGCTTTTGTATAGCTTTAGTTCTTAAAGTTTAAAGTTTAAGTAAAAGCAAATCCGATCCTCAATGTTTTAGCACTTGTGCAGTTTTAGCTCCTAAAGTTTTAGCAAGAGCAAATTTAGTCCCCAATTTTACCAATTTGAAGCAAATTTAGGACAATTGATGGATTTTTTTTAAATATTGATGTAATCAATCACGTGCATATAGAGGTTTGTTGAATGAATAAAAAAGAAGCAAAATAGCAAATAACCTTGGACAATAACAATAACTCACACAATGGCACGTTAATAACTAATTAACCAAGAAACAAAAAAGAAAAAGAAAATTTGTTACCTTTTACAAAAAAAAAAAATTAAATATTATAATTGTTTGCTTAGGTGCAGTGGGAATTGAGAGTATTACAATTGGGTGCTTCGACTAGTTTTATTTTTTTAGTTTAAAATTTTTGCTTCTTTTTACTAGTTAAAAATTTTTCTTCTATTTACTAGTTAATTAGTTAGCATGTGAGTTATTAGTTCTTAATTTTGTTGTCTAAAATTAGTTACTATTTTGCTTCTTTATTTTGAAATTTGATTTAATTGACATATGACTAGACATGACTAATTCATTATTAACATTATTGAAGATATTCTAAAAAAGAACTTCTCTCGTTGCTTCTCTTCTTCTCCAATTTCTATCTACTTCTCCTCCTCTCAGAAGGCCTTCTCTTTAGGAGGGAGATCATGGTGTGGTCTTCCTCCCATGGATTTTATTCTATTTTATTTTTTTAATAAATTCTCTCTTATATTTTATTAATGAGAGTTCTCTATTTCTCGTAAGGGCTCCTAATGAGAATTTTCTATTTTCTTAAGAGTTCCTAGTGAGATTTTTCTATTTTTTTTCTTATGTTGTTGTTAGATTTGAATTTATTTCAGATCTGATTGTTAGATCTAAAATTCTTATACTTCTTTTGGATTGAGGGATTTGACAAAGAATTTGAAATCCACCCAAATAAGTCTAGTTGTTTGGATTATTTAAGAGGTTTTTGAATTTGTAATTCACCAATTATCAAAATACATTTCAAACACTATAACAATTTGAGATTTATGATTTCAAATACCTTCTAAATAATCTAAATAATTAGAGGGATTAGAGAAGATTTCAAATCCTTCATCAAATCTCTCAATCCAAACGAAACCTTAAGATCTGAGTATATTTTGACAACTTTCATTATCATTATTAGAACTTAAAGCCATTGATTAGTATATTTGGCAATTGTAACATGCCCTACAAGGGAGTTGCAATGATTGTCTTAGGGAGCTGCAGTTCACTGTCAAGAACAAATTCAAAGAACTAACCAAACCCAAGAAATAAAACCAGATTGTGTAATCTCTTCTATAGTAAAAATAAACTTTTTGACAAGATAAAGTACACATTCGGATCCACAAAAATAATAGCTTCCTCAATAAGCAAATAGTCATGTCTACAGTACAGAAAGGTGAAAAATGTGTTCACTTTGAACTATCATCTACTACTCAAAATAGATAAAAGCATTAAATATAGTAGTTTTTTAGCACTCAATAGTATCAATAATTTATTCTAGTTTGTCCAATTCAATTTGAGAGTAATATAACTACCACTATAAATGCATTTCTGAGACAAAATGCTCCATGTGTAACAAGAAATCCAACATATTATGGTTATTACTATAACATGAGTATAGTAACCACTCAATGAATTTCCTTATTCTAGGATAGTTTGTGTCTATTTTGACACCATCTCCTTAATCTACTAGAACATTAAATCAGTGGTTCTTTAAGTTCTGACGCTAGAAATGAAAGGAAGAGGCCATCCTTATAGGATTTCAAGAAGAATGGTGAGTAAACATATGATGAGATGAAATTGACACGCATATCATGGGGTCATGACACGTCTTGCTCAAGTGGTGGTGACACATTTTCCTAACATTTTGTCAGGTTGTGAGACACGTGGATGGATACTTGTCAAAAGAAGGAATGTGGTGACAAGTTTAGGTATTAACAATTTGGTTCTTTATGTTTCGAAAAACAATATTTAGGCTACTAGAAGTTTATTTTTTCTATACATCTCCATTTACGTAAGATATTTCACATAAATAATGAAGGATCTCCCATTTGAATACAATAAAAATAGTTTCAAAACCAAATTCCTTGTGGATAAAAAATCAATTTTTCTCAAGAAGAACAAATTTCAAGTTTCTAGCCTAGAATTTAAATTTTGAAATTCTTGCCAAAAGGCTTATATTAGTCTAATTTAAGTATATGGAAGAATTATTGACATTTTTTCTTTCAATTTTCTTAATATTTCAAATATCTATATTTTGGTGGTACTTAGTCTCTACATACTAATCAAACTTCGGGTTAGCTCATAAAAATTTCACTAGAATTCAGTGCTTATAACCTCATAATAATACATCTCTTTCATAACTAAGAGATTTCATAAATCAACTATTCTTCTTCGGTGACTTAACCGGATTGTATAAAGGTGTGGCCTTAGGCTCCTAGTTTGGAGTTGTCAAGATGCTAGAAGCTTTTGGACAATTG